GTCACTCTTGCCTGACCTCTCGTTGTCTGACTTGTCATCATTTCTCTTCAAACAGTGTCGGGCAAAATGTCCTTTATGACCACAAACATTACAAGGATAATTTTGTTTGCAGTAGGCTAAATACTTTGCACACGGTTTGTTTGTGCAACTTTTCTTCATGTGGCCTTTCTGTCCACATTTGAAACAAGTGACTGCAGAGCTTCCACTTTGTTTGTTTGGCTTCTGGTTACTGTGCTGTTTCGTCTTCTTTCTCTGCTGCATCATCAAAGCGTTTCCAGACGTTGACTCACTTGATCCTTCTTGTGCTTTGATTCTGTCTTCTTCCAGTCTCAGCTTCTCGATGAGGTTTGGTATTGTTGGCTGATTTCCTGCTACGTTATCCCAAGATGTGCGAAAATGGTACAGATGAGGTGGCAAAATTGATAACATTCGAGTCATTGCCCATTGTTCATAATTGTTTTCATCCAAAGAGGTTAAATCTACGGCGAGTTGCAGTATGTCGTTGCAATTTGCAACAGCTGATTTGGAGTTGTCAAATGTGTAGCTGAAAAATTTGCGTTGCAGACCTTCGATCTCGTAATCTGACTTTTTGCCATACAAGTTTTGCAGTTTTCCATACATTTCAAATGCCGTTGTACAACTCAAAATCTTCTTCGAAATAGCTTTACTAACATTTATGCCAATGACGGTTTGAGCCTCAATGTCTTTTTCAACCCATTCAATTACATCTTTTTCATCGACTTTACCTGCAGGTTTTGGCTTTGCACCAGTTACATACTCATAAATTTTCTTTGACTTTAGCGTTAAATCAATTTTAAATTGCCAAGCTTCAAAATCTACTTCACCGTCTTGATCTTCTGACAACATCTCAATATTTGATTTTGTTGATTGCTCCATTTTGAAATTTAATCAAAACGAATTTTGACAACACTACTCACAACTTGATGCTTCGCTGACGACGACTTGGCTGGAACACAGGGCTGAATTGACTAACTTGTTATTTTGCTTGATAATTTGGCGTGACTGACTTTTGAGCATGATCTGGGCCCAGAACCTGTTAGTTTTTAATTGCCAAATAACTTATCAAACAAGTCAAGTTGTAGTTTTAACAGACGTCCTTGTATTAACTATTTTACAATCAACAGTAATCCCAAAATATTTTCTTTAAAATAAATTCACCAAAAACTGACGAATTTCACAGACACTTTCTTTTGAAAATATTTTCGCAGACACTTTGTTTTACTAAAGTTAACAACGCAATTATTTACATACTATCTAGATTAACAGAAAATAAATATTACAAAAAATAATTAATCACAACAGATTCTTTATTATAATTATAGCGCAAAACAACAAAATTTTTGTAAAAATGATTGAAACATTTTTAAAACGTGGATCAGTTTACCTCCCGTTCTATTTATACCTTTTAAAGGGGTTACCGTGTTCCTTTAGAGGGATCACTTTACGTCCATGCATTTGAAATCAAAAGGCAAAATCGACCTGTTTCAGAGATTCTCGAAAAAAAAAGTGAGATTGAAAATTATCCAGGAGGAAAATTTTAAATGCACCACCTACTGTGTGAGAGTTATACCACGGCAAAGCCTCACAAGTACGACTTATTATACACATTATATGTATGTAAGATAGAAACGCATCGGATGGTGATTTTGCCGGGTAGGTACCTGATAATCACTATGACTAATGGTTCATGTCTTCGTTCTGGCGGGTTTTCCATTAAATATCATTCTCACACAACGTCTTAAACTACATTAAGTCTAGTTCAAAAAGTCGTTTGAATACTAAACCAATGAAATTTTAATTCTTGGTTGGCGGATTTTTAACGAGAGGGTTGAGTTGAAACCTTTAAAACGAGAGCCTTTAATGTTTATGAATACTAAAAGTCTGTAAGGCGCAAAATCATACTAATAAGTTATCGGTGATCAAATCCTGATATACCAACAACTGACAGAAACTGTAACAGTGCGACCATTTTCACATTATATTTGGCAAAAAATTTTATTTCACTTATTGTTGTACATTTTGCTACAGGGGGGCGCCACATGAACGATCCTTGAGGATGAAATTGGGTCATACCGTCATACTGGTTTTGACAAAATTTCTTAGTAATTTTGATTATAAAATATGACATAAACATCATTCTTTTGTAAAATTGCTATGCTTGGTTCATCTTAATAATTTCAAACGTTTTCGAGAAAAACGCAATTGAAGATTTCAGATTCGGAGAGGAATTTCAAATAAGAAGCTGTAGAAAAACTTGTAATCCGGAATAATAAACGAACAGGTTAATAAAAATAATAAAGTCATATTGACTTTTTTATGTGGTACTCTCCTACTTCGATGCCTTTTCTAATTCATTGGATGAATGACTTTCTATTCTATAAATAAAATAAGCCGCATTTTGTATTTTTTTCCAGATCTCATTTTGTGAAAGAATTTTATTTGTATAAACTTAAGGACTTCATATGTCCACAAAAATAGAAATACATTAAATTATAATGAGGACTTCTTGGTAGCCATTGAATTTAACTTACTCTGCCAATCTATCGTTGAGGAAACGTTTGATTAAGATGATTTCTAACTCCTACTGGGTAATGAGGTGGTGCTCCGTCTTGCGTAACCCACATTGTTCATCTTAGAACCAGTGAGAGATCAACCAAAATGTTATCTAAAGAATTTTGTAAGAAAAAGAAATATGGTTCACATTTTAAGTTTGGAAAAAGAACATATTGTCTAAGTAGTCGATTGTCTATAATGCTACACTGACATTCACTGAAATGTTCAACAGCGTTTTTCTCGAAAATTATTGAAATTATTAAGCTGAAATATGTGTAACGGTTTTACGTGAGAATGATGTTTATATCACGTTTTATAATTAAAATTACTAGTTTCGTCAAAAAGCATGAATCAATTTTTTTTAACTTCGGGGACCGTTCATGTGGTGCCTCCTGTAAAAGAATTAAAATGGTAAATAAAATAATATTTCTTGCCTAAACTTATACCGTTTGTATCAATTTTGATAACGATTTATGATAGTATTTTGAATTAATTACCAAAAAACGAAAATTTAGTAAGACATGCTTGGTCCAATCTTCACATTCTGGTTCAAATAACCTGCACTTACTCCATGTGCTAATGGTTATGATTCACCCTGTATATGTTAATGTTGGTCGTGTGTTTGATTGTCTTTTTCAGGACGAATGTAACTTTGTTTTACGGTATAAATTTTAAATTAAATAGTTACTTCTTGAGAACATTCAAAAAGTGACTCTTGTTATTAAATATTATGTTTTGTTTATGTCGTTATATATTGCCTTGATTAATAAGTAACTTTTATTCTATTAGTTTTGATCATGTTTTTAGAGATATTTGTTACATATCAAAAAATAGTAACAGCAACCGAAATGAAAAAAATAATTTTATAACACACTTTATTGAGTTACAGTCAGATAATGCAGTTATTAATAATATTTTTTTTATCAACAAGGAAAACAAAAGAAAACAGAAACCATTTGTAAATAGTGCTATAACTTTTTAAATATTTCTATAGTACACATCTATTTAGGTACTGAACTTATGAAACTAATCATGTATGTAAGTACAGAATCTAACAACTTCACATCATAAATTAATTTATTTTTTTACATTTTTTAAAAAATAAACAGGAATTATATATACCTATAACTAATGTACAGATTCCATAATATGATCAAATATGAAAATCTAAAGGGGACTCCCTTAAAATTATCAAAAATCGAGTAACAAATTTACTAATACTTTGGAATGGGCTTCTATTTAGAACATTATTGTACAGCTTCAATTTTGAACACTATGCTTATACTATTTACAAGAGATAATACGTTTAAAATTATAATATTAGGTAGGCATATAATTAAGCATAATGGAGTGAATAAGGTTTTTGGTTTTTATTTTTATTTGGTTTAAGTGGAATCACAGAATTTTTGACAAACTAACACATGGAATTCGAAATACCATGTTCGTTATTTCACACTACATTAAGTCAATATTAATTATAATTTACCACACTTTTTGAAAACTACATCTTAGTGCTTATGTAATAATTTTTTCATTTTCCTTTTTCTTCAAATTAGTTAAAAATTTTTGTGATACAAGTAGTATTTATACGGTGTGATGATTATTTTTATTTCTGTAACTCTCACTATATCTTGTATAGCGTGTCCCAATAAGTAGTTGATACATTGCAAAATTTATTATCTCGTATTTTACAGAAAAATGAAAGTTTTGGAACACTCTGTACAGTTAAAAAAAGGTTTTATTATTTCATCTACATATGCATGGAGTATTTATTTACAGTACCTAGATGCTTTTCTATTTATAAAAAGATAACAGATAAATAATTTAAACAATTCAAAATTGTCAATTGCACAGAGCATATTATTGATTCTTTACACGGTAGTTTTTGCTTCATAATATCATTAGTTCTTAATTTTACATAAACATTTGTGCACTATCAATATAATAATGATTTATTACAATTAATCTGGAAGAAATTAAATTATCATACACACAGTGCAAGAGCACTAAGGTGCTTACTTTATGTATTATTTATTATCTAAATTTTAACTGTAGATAATTCTAGAGAGCTATAACAGTACAACGCTATTGTCAATTACAATATGCAGCATTATTTGTTTGGTATTTCAGGCATTTTATGTAGGTACATTACTCAGAAAACTGAGAAAATTGTATACCTATTTCTTAATTAATTAAATAGTTTTATTTATATGAATATTTTCAAATTTAGGTTAGAATATTATCTGTGATACCCTCCAAGTAATTTATGACAAAAAGATTAAAATGCAAGCCGTCTGTTTTGCTTATTACCCTGCAATAAAAGTTTTAGTAACTTGGAATTCATGTTAATATTCTAATGCTCTACGAGGGGATCACAGTGGATAATACAAGGAACAGAATTTAAGAAAAGGAATTAAAGTTAAATGTTTTAGTAAACTTTGAATGGGTTTGTTTATTATAATACATTGGTAACTAACATAATACGGGCTGCTTTTTTTATTATACATTATGCAGGTTACTTGTTGATTAGGTATCTATTTAAGTGCAACTGCCGCTCTGGTTGGATCCTTTGGAATCCATTTTTTAAAGAAAAACTTAGGGATGCTTTCAATGGTAGAACACCTTTGACAGAAACAGAATTTATATCGTTTGCAAAATACCTTATTAAAGTATAGCCGCAAATTGAAGATAAATACATAAAATGCAAGTATGTAAACAGTGTCGGATTAAGCCTATTATAACATATATAGTGGATTTCATTTATTACGACCTTGGTTATAGCGACCATTTTGCTACAGCGACGTCCCTTAAATTTAAAGCAAATTTTAGTACAAAATTCATCATGTGACTATAGCGACGTCGGGTATAATGCCGAGTTCGGGTGTAGCGACTGTTTTTAATGAATCATTTGTAACAAATCCCTGTAGTAATCCCATGCAGATATAACGAGGGGAGTCGGTCGGTTTACAAGTTTACATCCACAAAGATGGTTAACAAGTGTTGTGACCTTTGCTGTTTGTTTATAGATGTTAGCCAGATAGGCAGGTCAGGGTGTACGTTAAAATGGTTCAGTTACAAAGTGATATTCTGAGCAGCAACTGTGTTTAGTAAACTTTTCAATAAGTATGACTTTTAGATGCACACTTACTGTTAAAAAAAGGTGGAAAACGTTTCAAATTGAACAATGGTGAAAACTATACACACGTGTCTGTATTTCTTTAACTTTGCCTATAACGACGAAATTACAGTGGTCTCTTCGTCGCCGCTATACCCGAAATCCACTGTAATTTCAAAGCCATTAACTTAAATCTAAAAATTTCTGATGTACAAGTGCTTTATTACTCTTGGTCTTTTTTATTTTTTTGACATGATATGAAAGAAGAACCATCTTTCTGTTGGTACCAAACGTAAACACCGAAGAAGATTCTTTATTATTGCTTATTTCCAATTTAAGATAACAGAATTGTTACATAGGTACGGTTATAAAGTCTGCAGTTATTATGGTAGTTGCTGGTCGCGACAGCAACTCATATAAGCTGTCGTTATATAAACAACCAGATAGTCCTTATCGCGTTATCGTGGGAGTGCCCTGTCTATCCCTACTTTAACTAGATAAATGACGATACTGCTGTGACAATATTTTTTTGAAGTGAAACGTCTATTACGGGGTATTACGATTTTTTCTGTCACGAAAAAGCGTTAAGGGCGCGTGGAGGGGGTAGACGGTATATCGCGTGGTGAGAGGCGACAGTGGCGGAGAGAGAGAACGGCTGTATTAAATGGATATAATGCGCAGACCTCTATGTAAAAACCAAATCATAATTTGCAGTAAATCTGTGAAAATGAAATGTGTGCTGGGGCAGGTTTTCAAATTGGACAAGTACATTAACAATCTGCCCGTAAAACTTGAAGAAAAAATTTCGTTGCGATTCGTTTTTTCCACTTGTTCGTTGCCATTCGTTTTTCCACTTGTCCGTTGAAGTTTCACTTCTACTTCTAATAACGTACTCGTGAAGTGCACATTATACAGTAGGCCAACTATTCTAGGCGCCTATTATGCTCCATCACTGTTACCGGCAGCGGAAGAGAGTATTCAAACTACCTATGACGTGCTTTATCATTCTATTGTATCGGATATCATCCTCATAGGCGATTTGAATCTTCCGCACATCATTTTGGTCTTCGTCAGAAAATACAATAATTAACCCTCAAGGCATGATGCTCCACTTATTGTTCACTACCTTTAACCCAGTGATAGTGTCCTATGACATGGACAATCATCTTCCAATTGACTTCCCCTCCCCCCATTGTCTGACAATAGATAATAGAGAGACTAGAGAAAATCGATGCTTTTCCAATTTGCTTCAACAGCTGCTTGAAAACAACAGGTGCATCAGAAGAAGATCATGCATACTGCATTTGTGAACAACTTTCTCAAAGCTAGCTACCTTCCATCTACGTTGTTCTATGATAACCGTCCAGTAGCGACACCTTCGGATAGGTACATTATCTCTGTTTGTATCCTATTTTAAATAAGCATTTGAGAGCAATCTCTCGCACTCAATCCGCAGTCCCTTGGCGTGTCGTAGATGTCCGTCAGCTAAGCAGAGGTCATTGGTGATCTTCTTTCACTCAATGTATCTGTTGGCCCAACTTTTGACCAAATTCGAAACATATATATATATATATATTACCTTGACCATCCTATAATGGACGTTTTTCAACAAGTCTCATTACACTGGTACGTTTCCTAATCCATTGAAAAACCTATTCACAAATCCGGTCGAATGCTAGAAATTATCGGCCCAATGCACTTACCAATGCAATCCTAAAGCAGCTCAAGAAGCCGGTAACCATAAAACATCAACCTATAATTGACCTTGTTCTTGCTAACGAGCAAGATGGCTTCCGGGTCAGTAAGTCAACATTTATAAATTTATCTCTACTAAATTACTACCTAATCCAAAATCATGAAAATAAACACCAAGTCGATGTGATTTACGCAGACTTTGCTAAAATCTTTCATCCAATTGAGCACACTGTCAAACTCAGAAAACGGGAAGAAATTGGTGTCTGTGGATTTTTTTTAAAGTGGATGGGGTTATATCTTATTGATTGCATGTACCCAGTGAATGTCGACGAACGCCTTATATCTTGTCCGCAAGGATTGCATCTTTTTAGCATCGTTATAAACGACCTACTTAGTTCCATTACTTTTGGTAAGGTATTAATGTATGCTGATAGCGTAAAGATTTTTCACTCAATTCGATCCATCGACTATTCTCTTGGCCTTCAGCGTGACCTTGACCGCCTGTTCAATTGGCGTCATAAGAATCACTTAGCAAGATCATGTACTACTCAAGTAAATACTTCACATTGCTCTTCCACTATGCCATCGACGACATTCCTGTACCGAGCGAGAGTGATATGGTAGATCTGGGTGTTTACTATTCCAGTAATGGATTTTCCAACTCTCATGGGGAAGACGTAGTCGGCAAGGGTTCGAGAAATCTTGGTCTCGTACTCAGGAACAGTACGCTTTTCAGGAACCTATCTACTCTGAAATTATGTCAGGCTTATTATAGAATATTCGTCATTTAAGTTCGAAAGTGGTCATCCAAATCAGTACTTGCAGCACGAATACTCTACTAATCTTTCCTTTTTGGATCTAGAAATGTTAGAAATTACCAAATCTCTTGTGCTAAACCCTCCGATCTCTTTCAATTTAATGTACCTCGACGCATTACAAGATGCCTCCTACTTTTTCAAATCAACATTTACAGATCCGATTCTGATATGAATAACACTATTCAGCTCTTGTTGAGAACTGTAAAAAACTTACTGTTGCCGAGGGATGTTTTTGCGCTATCCTAATATGCTTATAAAAAGCTGATATGTAGAACAATCATAAATATAATAATATAAGTATTTTTAGTAATCCTTTCCTTTTTTCTTTCTTTACTTTTATTAATTGTCTGTCCTCCTTAATCAAATTATAATATCATAATAAGTAATTAATTAATGGTATTGTCATTATTGTTTTGTAAAGGGTGCATACTCGTAGAATATATTAATAAATAAATAATTGCTCATAAAGTATGCATAAGCTCAATTTCTGTTACTAATTGGGTTATCTATGGGTTACTCTATAAAGTCATTAAGCATATTGTAAATTACTAACTTACAACTTATAACAGCATTCAGAATACCAATTATTTGATAGTTTGGGATGGACCTTCACTTTCATCAAGTTCTAAAAGAGCGTGCAAAGCTTCGTTATAATTTATACAAGGTTCTTCCATATTTTTAAAAGGCTTGACGACCGTACAGCGTACACGTCATTTACCGCAGTTCGGACACAACAGAATCGCGTAGAAGTTTCTTTTCTGACGTTCTCTTTATCTAAGTTTAGGACCGTCTGATTTAATCTATCGCTGCGGTAGGAAAAGACAACACTCACAAAAAAACATTGACGGCTTAAGTTTTAGATATTTATGTGTCTTATCAAAGTAGAAGATTTCAATATTTTCATCGTGCACGAAAAAACTTCGACCACAATCATCCACAACTGATATTCGGATATTTTTCGCTAGTATTTGAACACAGCTCTGGGAATGGAGCACCATTATATTAAAATGATTTAGTTAAAAAGGTCATTCTTGATAACACTTACACCAAATTTTTAATTCTCTAATATGCTTAGTTTACGTATAATACCTAATTTATCACTCAGTTTAAAGAACCCTGTATGAGCATAGAGTAGTAAATATCCGTAGTCAGAACTGCCAAAAACTAATGTAACTAGTCCTAACTTAATCTAAACACTTTGGAGTAATTTTTGTTTGCAGCCTCATAAAAACTATTTCAAACAAATTTTATGTTAGATTAAGTCAAGTTATGGGTAGGTTAGTTTATTTTGTACGATAATATCCTATTCAAATTTCTAATTTTTCACCTCCACCTCCTGCACCTCGAGGCCCACGGTGATGACTAAACACGACTTGTCTCGACTATGGTGTAAACTTGCACTTTGCATTCACGATTGGTATTTTGAAGATAGAAAATCTGCTTAAGCACTATAGAAAAGCTACGTATGCTTGGTTGTAAAAAGGCGTATTCAGAACTTTCATTGTCTTTATTTTCATTTTTTGAACAGCTGAGATTAACTGAAACATTGCACACAGAAAATTAGGGCAATGAATGCCCTGATTAAGTCTTTGAACATCGAAATACGATTACAAATTAATATTTAGATAAAATAGGTATCTAACATTTTGTGCTTGGCCTTCAAATAATATATATGTATGAAATATAGAAATTATATACAATTCCGAGGTTATTTAGATTTTGTTTTAAATATTTTTTAAAACACACATATCCTGGGAAATGTATACATTTCCTAGAAATTGTATGAAATTCCGATATTGTACTAGGAAACTAATGCTTTCTGTGAACTAAATGAATAAAACACGTTAGTAAACTAAGAATCAGAGTTACCTGTGTATATGCATTGGTGACGTTATTGCTTTTTAGGTTAGGTTTGGAGTTGCATATGCATTAGTGACGTTATTGTATGGTTATTAAGTAGATTTATGACAGACTGGAGTTTCTTTAATGCATCTGCCTATGATATGTTGGAATAATGTCTTCGAAAAGTATGTTTCGTTATGACCTCCGCGCCCAACATATATACATATGAAAATGATCACCATTATCACCTCTACAACATATTAAAAATTCAAGGCCATCGTGTTTGCTGAAGCAAAGATAACCTCGTCACATTATTCTAACATCTAATATATCAGCCCGCCTCCGGTGGGCAGGGGCATGACACAAACTCCAGTCTGTCATAAATCTTCCTAACCAAACAATATAGATACATCGCCAAACAGCCTGTCATATTATTGCCTATTTAGCATTACCTGTGATACATTTTTCATTGCTATTTTGGAAAGATATAGAATTCCTAGGAAATGTGTCTAATATAATTTATTACACACATTTTCAGGCGATTTTAAGAATTATATACATTTCCTAGGAATTGAATACAATGGCTGGTTCTATACACTTCCGGTAACATATATATTACAGAAGTTAAGCATTAATGCCACTTACCTAGCTGAACAAAATTATAGGACGATATGCCGCTGGAAATGCTTAGTCTTTCTTTTCGTCTTCGGGGTCCTTTAATGTATGCCACTGGGCTATGGGCCTACGTGGAGAGGCAAGCATGTCCGACCAGTGGCGTAGTTCAGTACCGCTTGCGTTGTAACCCAGTACAACTTTACCTATTGGTTCGGATGTGCCAATTCTGTCGTAGTCCACCACGGTTACAACAAGATTTACTTTCTGTAATATCAATTAATTTTATACAAACTATAAAATGAACAAATTATTAAAATTAATAGAATAGTTACCTGTATTTGTTCGAATGGTACTTCAAATGTAAACGATTCGTTGTAGTAAGGGTTTAAAGTACATTTTTTGATGCTTGTCTTCTTTTTCTTGAGTCTTTTACCGTTTTGCATCAATGCAATTTTTACGTATGGATCTGTAAAAGGTAAATTTTTAGAAGGTATTTTTTAGGATTGCGTATTCTTAACAAAAAAAATAATTCGATTAAAACAAAAGGAGAATAAAATTAGATTGAATGTTTTAAATATTTTTGGTGTTCTAATTCATTAACACAGATATCATTTATAAATAGTACATGTAGTGAAAGGTTTATTTTATTGTTTACCAAATATCTATTGCCTTTGCCATTGCTTACCAGAAAGTCCACCGACGTCCATTTTTTTGAGATTCTTAGCTTCCAAAATAACGACAGTCAGTTTTCCAGCTGTCGGAACATATCTTAACGAGAAACAAATGTCTCCCAGCTTGTTTTCCTGCAATAGTCAAGCAGTAGAGTAAACTGAACATATTGCACAATATTATTCCATTTAAATGACAATTTATTTCCTATGATCACAATAAGAAGTTAAACCTTTATTTAATTATCGTAGCAATCTAGATTATTTAAATAGATAGATAAGTAGTTGTTTTGGTGTCCAGTTTTGAATTTTTTATGAGGGCTTTTACAGAGCTTTTGGTCTCATGCGTAATCAAATCAGATTTTTTTCAAGCGTAATATACAGACATCCATTGAAAATTAAAAATTAATTAGTTGGTGTCTTTCTAATAAAAGCGATTGGTGTAATACAATAAGTAGAGAAAATTGATAAAACGTTTCAAAGTAAAAAGAAGGAAAAGGTAATGTGCATTTTTGTTTCGTTAAAAATATGAAAACATTATATTATTAAAGACAAACAGATTCAGACATCAGGTTAACTGTACGCAGTAGATAACATATTCATTTTAAGTTGATATGACGAAAAAACTAGGAGGATGTTTCATATGAAGTTAAAATCTTTCGTATCATATATGTAAAAATCATTACTATACTTCATTTACTTTCTCTAGCGATGTGCCCCTTCCAATGTCTTGGATGCGCGCTGGCAAAATCGTAGGTAGGGAGGAAAAAGCTCATTATACTCTCGACTCTTGTTCATTAAACATACTTTTTCATACAGTACCTGCCAAAAGTTTTGTTCAATCATGAGTAGTAGGAGATTCTTTATCATCA